CTCCCTTTTTGATTATCTAGAGGAATTAAAGTGTTAGATGTATCGTAAGCTCATTATCTGAGATTCTGAATGCATCTTACGTTAGAATAACGTCTCAAGGGCTTGGGGTCTCTTGGTCATACTTGCTTAGACGTCTCAAGTTCGAACCTTCTGGTGAGCTTAATACCAATAAACCCTTGATGTCTCTCGAGTTCGAGCCTTGGGGTGAGCGCGGGCACGGGTGTCCTTGGGTATAGGGGAGCAAAGCTCCGACTCTCAGTTATCAAAAAAAGAGAAAAAAAACACTTGGTTGGGGAGGTTCGATTTTACTTGCAACGGATAGTACATCCTTCTTAGTACCTTCTAGGGCAAAATATTTTTGGTAAGTGTGAACATCAAAAGTGGCAAAGGAACTAATTTCTCTAGTATAGGGTTGTTCTAATGCAAAATTAGAGACTAATAGTCAACTACTCTCGTCTTGTTTGAAGTCAAAAGTCAATTTATGAGGGGGAGAACTGATGACAGTTGTCCTATCAATTTATAAACGTCAGCACAGAGCTTGTCAAGTTTTTTAGTTCCCCTTGAAATGTAAGCATGGAGCTGTTCAGGTTCTTTCTTTCCTTTGCTCTTTCTCTGCATGGCCTTTTGGCTTGTCTTTGAGGTTTTCTGTTTGTGCTTGTTTTACCCTTTCTGCCACAATCGGATTGCTATTATCATCCTCTTCCTCTACAGTCTACACCTTAATTGGTAATTTTCATTTGCTTTTTGTGGCTAGCTGATAAGGTGGAAAGATTTTCTGCTGATTCTCCGAAATCCTATCCAAGTGACATGTTACTTCTTCTATGTTAGTGGGGTAATTCGCCCATCTCCATGGAGCAAGGTCCTTGTTTGCCAATGGGCTATTGAGATCCTTCTCAGAAGTCTCCATAAGTTCTCATTTTCACCGGTAATGCCAACATTCGTCCTCAGGCAGGATCTTAGAGCTTGAGTAGTTCTCTGAGTTGGTTGTGTTTGAGGCGCCCATATTCGAGGATTTTACCTAAGGCCCAATTATATGGGCTAGGTGGAAAGGAGGCCCAATATTGGATAACTAGTTTGCTAACCATCACACGTTCCTTCCAATTTTAGTGCACAACCCAAAGACCCATTAACTTTCTTCTTCTTCTTCTTTTTTTTTTTCAATTAACTTTCCAAAATATTTTGGGTTATGCACCCCACAACGGTTTCCCTCTTCTATCATTAGGCAGTATCACTAAGGTGCTCCACTGTTTACCTTCTTCATCTTTGAGGGAGGGAGGGATGAAGCCTCTACTATTTTTCTAGATTTTGATCCTAGCTTCTTTAATGTCTAGCTTCCTTACAATTTTCGCTGCCACCCCTTAGAAACCTCCACAAGGGTCACCAATCATTTGAAACAAGCAATAATTCTAGAGGTGTAAAAGGAAACCTTAATCTAGTTCTTGTAACATGGAATGATCGATTGGGAAGCAAGCATGAGCTATCGGGATCCATTCTTCAAACTTAGCGTAAAAGTTTTCCATTGTAACTCAAGATTTATTGAAACATAATAATTTGCCCTGTTCTTCATGGTTATCGACACTTGAACCATCCCACTTGTCGTTTTGCAACCAGACGATTGAAAAGGTTGAAAAGTGCCTTGTTTTTTTTTTTGGAAAAATGCCCTTCTTCTCTAAGAACAATAGGTTGGCCCTTGATATTAAGTGGGATTTTCACCTACTTCATGTTCCGGATTCCCTCAACCATTAGTTGTAGGTTGGAGAAGATCATGCAAGATTTTCTATTGGAGGAAGTTGTGGAGGGCGGTGGCTCTCGGTTGGTTATATGGGAGGTTATTTGAAAACTGATAGGGTTTAGGGTTTGGGCATAGGAAATTGAGCGTTTGTAATAAGCCCCTTTTAAGTTGTTTTGGAGAAGCCTTTGGAGAAGCCTAGCAAATTATGGCATAGGATCATTATGAGGTTAATATGGGGCTCAACCTCCAGGGTTGGTATCAATCTGTGGGGCTACATGCATGTGCTTTGAAGGCCAATTTTCTTGTTACAATTCCTTTTTTAATTTTGTTAAGAGGTTAGATAGAGATGATCTAGATGCGTGTTCTTTGGGAAAATTGTTGGTTAGGAGAACCTCCCCTTTGCCTTTTTTTCCCCATATCTATTGGCTATTGCTTGTCTTCTTTGAAATTAGGTCTTATAGCCTATGTCATTGTTGCTCCGGGATGCGTTTCTGTTCGTTTGCTCTACGAAAGTGCAGTGTTTTCATAAGAAAACAAAATTCCTCCTTATCTGACCTCTAATTTAGCATGGATTGTTGAACTAGATAAGTGTTCGGGATAAGGAAGAACATTGACATGTACCCTTGGAAGTTCTTAGCCCAATGAAAAGCTCTTTATCTACCTTTCGAGTGTCTTGGGAGCTATGGAGACCATTTAACGCTAATTTCCAAACTTGGAAACAAACCACTATAAACTGATTTGTGCATTCCCGTGGCTTTGTGAGTTTTATGGTTGCCAATGAGTTAGCTTGAAGATTTTTCCCTACTTTTAACTGGTCGAGCTATTTTATTATCTTCTGTTGGAGTTTTGTAAAGTCCCTGTTTTCTTGTAGAAACATTTTGTCAAGCTTTCTAGAAGTTTTCATTTCTGCTTCTATTCAGGTTCGTAACTTACGAATAGGAGCCATGTTGAAAACTGTTCTTCATGCTCTGGCCCAAGCTGTTTTCATAAGTTCCTCCCTCAACATGTACAAGGAAGGAATGGTAGCAAATTTGAAGGAGAAGCTTCAGGTTCAAGTTTTATGTTTCTGTAATGACATTTTAGTTTTTTACATGGGTGTCCATTTTATTTCCTGTATTCCTTAAGAGATCGACTTCATTTGAAGTTGGCATACTGATTAATTGAGTCTTTTTTGTAGTACTTTTCAGCTGCTGTACTTGACGCATACAATGTGCTTCCTAATTTTGTAAGTTATGATGTCTGTGTCTTATCAAGTTCGTTGTTCGTTGTTTGTTTTTGTTTTCTTAATTGTTGCTAGCAGGACTTGGGAAGAAGAGAAAAAAGAGAATGAACGATGAACAATGAACCCAAGAGAGGAGTGTAGCTAAAGGGCTCCACATTGCTCATTCTTCTTCTTAATAAGAAACTAATTTAATGTTTTTTTTAGATAAAAAGTACAAGGATAATATATGAAGACTACTAGGGTCGCAAAAAAGATTCCCAACTGGTCAACGACATAGAAAGAGTATAATTATGAATAGACTAGATTTGCCCAAAGAGACAAATAGCTGGTGGTATCCTCCCAAAGCTACTCCTTAGGTCTTTCTTTCTCAGCAAAGAGCCTTTTATTTTGCTTGATCGAGATTACCCGTAAAATAGTTGATCCTCCATTTAGCAACAACACTACCTCTCTGATCATGGAAATTTCAGTTTCTATAAATCTGAACCAAGTGGTGCTTCATTCGGTACTGCATGTCTTCACCATTCTGAAGGCATTGAGACTGGGCGGCAATGCAAAGGAGAAAGTGCCCCTTTTGGCAACGAGTACCTGCTCAAAATCATAATGAAATTGGAAAGCAGGTTGGTGTGGTGGTGAGTGGTGGAGGATGTTGGTGAGCCTTTCATTGAAGAGGGGAAGAAAAGAGATGAGAGGAAGGATAAGAGAAGGAGAGAGGGGAAAGGCTTTGAGAGAGAAATGCCACTTGGTTATAAGAGAATGAACAGTAATAAAATTTGCGAATTCATTTGAAAAATACACATCAATAAACCCTAGTCAGCATATGTTAATTGCCCCATCAGGCCATCACTGATCTGTTAGGTCAACTAAAGGTAAGCTCAAATTAGGGACCAATCAGAAATCAAATTCAAACCTCATCGGACCAATTAAAAATTGAATTCAAGTTTAGTTTTGAAACCTCAAGGACCAAAAGGAAACTAAATTCCAATTTTAGAGACAAAATGATGGTTTGGAAAATTTAAGAACCAAAATAGAAACAAAGTCCACACCTCAGAGACCAAAAGGTATGGGCTTCAGATCTCATCTTTTTCATGGTTTTTGATTTCTATGTTGTGTTTGTTTTTCCTTCTTTTTTTCGCTTCCTTTGGGAGCTTGTATCCATGAACTTTTTTCTTCTTTTTCATATTATCAATGAAAAGTTTGTTTCTTGTTAAAAAAAAGTGTATTATACCTTTTTAGTTTTTACTTAACTTTGGTCCCAGATTCGTAATGTCTAGCTTTTGATGATTGTGCTAAAAAACCATTTGTAATTGACCTTGGTTCCATATTATCATGATTAAAACTTTTAAGTGGAAACACTCAAAGAGAGGATAAATGCACATCCAGCTGGTGAGAACAAGCAGTGAGAGGGAGTAGCCACCGAAAGTAGGAGGGGGGTCAGGGGAGTGTCACTAGAGAAAGGAGAGAGGAGAGGAGAGTGTATATACTTCTTGGTATAAGGGAAAATGACATAATATGAAAGTAAGCTAGAAAGAATTCTTTTTTTTCAGACTCATAATTGAATAGATGATGTTTTAACCTAAGGTTTAAATGGTTTAGCCTGAATTTATTGGCAATCTAGATATTGAAACATTTATTCACTAGTGAGGAACTAATTACTGGCTGCATTTATGTTTTAAGAAGGTAAGTTGTAGAATATCTGTGATTCTTTTTCTTTTCTGTTTCTCTGATTTTTTCTCTCCATTTGTTCCCTTTTTCACGTGTTTGTCGGCTGGGTCAATCAGCTGTAAAATCCTTGCAAGTACAGAAATTGTGAATAAGAGGAGTATTCATATTTTTCTTGTAACTCGAGAATAATAATGTGTTGTCATTGTGTGTCATTTTACTGCTTATTTAAGTCATTTGTGCTTTATTGTTCTTCAAAAAGCAGGATCTGATTGTTCCTTCTCTTATGGGAAAAGGGATTGAATTCTCTTCATCGTCTTTATCAATGGTTCCAGGAATACCCATTAAGCCAATGCTTGCAAAGTATATTTCTGGGCCATCTAACATTCATCATCTTTATCAATGTATACTTCTTTTCCTATGCATGTTAACTTGGGTTATTCTTTGTTATTGGTACCTGCTGTAGAATTACCAATGGTATTCCTCAAGCATTGAAAATCTTTGAGAATAAAGCTTTTACATGTGAATACAAGTGAGTCCTCTTGTCTCTCTGCTTCTTTCTCTTACCTCACTCTTATGCATGCATCCATTGAGATATTTAGGTCTTGTTGTTAATCATCTCGTGAACCTTAAGTAGTTTAATACAAACCATGTTTTGTACTTCTTTTGGCAAATACTTGGGCTGAATAGTGGTAATTTTTTTCAGTAATCGATAAAATTATCTTAAGTTTTTTTTTCCTATTAATTTTTATGCTTTACCTCTTTCCTCCTAGCTTCCTCTTTCTAGATTTTTTCCTTAATTGTTCCATCTGATGAAAAATAGTTGGATAACTTCTTTCAGTTTCCCTTCAGTTTTTCTTACAATTACAATCTTTTCTGGTGGTATTAGGTTTTGTAGGTTAATTTATTAAGATTTTGATATTGAATGTAGGCATGTGATTAGGATACAGGGAAGGTTGGATTAGGTTTTTATATTTTTACCGGGTGATTTTTTTGGCTGGAGTGTTTGGAAGGTGAATGGGTTTTCTTTCAAGAATTTGATTGCTAATGAGAGTGTGGGGCCGGGTCAACAGAAAAAAAAGGAAAAGGGATGGTGGATGTATTTAATATATGACCTTGTCTATTGGGATAACGTACAACATATTGCTTCGTGGTAGCTGTAAACCACAAGAATTTTTTTTTTATTATAGCCTACAAATGATTGTTAGTGATTCAAAGACCGCTATTATTTAGAGTGTGGGGGAGGGTGATCTCAATCCTCTGCCCTTAGGGTGTTTCTCTTTTGTGGTCTTCTTGAATATATTGTCTTTTATCCAAAAGAAAAATATACAACCTTGTCTATTAAATTAAAATAATGTAAATGAAAAGTGGAAATAGAATCACAACACATTTTTGTTTTTGCAGATGACTTGTTGTCTAATGCTCTTTAAAATGTCTTATTTCTCAACGGGGTAGGACCGACTAGGAAGAGCACAAAAGAAGGAAATAGTTGTTAGGATCCCAAATACAAGAACCTAACAAGATAACTATATTGCAATATTAAAATGGAAATTACAATATCGATAGCCTTTTGAGAGAGCTATCTTTCTCCCAAGAAATCTCTCAAGTTCTTCACCAAAGTACTATTCCAAAAGATACCCCTTCCTCTCCCTTCTACCCTCTATTTATATCCAATCCACCCGTAAGTCCTAACTAATTACCATAATACCTCCACTAACCATATTCCTAAACTATCCCTATTAGGACTCTCACAAGTTCCACCATAAAAAAAGCCTAAAAAACTAAGCAAAAACTCCATGAACGAGTGCAAGCAAGAGAGAAGAGAGGATTGAGAGAATCACCAAAAGATATGAACACTAACAAGAGTTATTAAGGGTGAAAGACAACCATTGTCCTCTGATTCTTATTATAATTTCCATTGTATTAGCAGGGTCATATTTAAAGGATCGTTTGATAATATTTAAGCTTTTCGTTTTTTATTTCTTAGTTTCTAATTTTAGAGAAACATATTTGTTTAGTGACTTTTTTGTTTTTTGTTTCTTATTTTTAAAAAAATGTTCCTAAAATTTTGTATAAGCATCCGGAAACTACAAAGCTAGTTTTCTATTTTCTTGTTCTCGTTTCTAGTTCATTTCATATTCCTGTTTATAGGTTGTCAAAGATTTGAATAAAAACATCATTTTATCATTTTTGACCTATAAAGTGCATATCATTTAAAAGATTAAATGTAACCATTTTTTATATATTTTATTTTTTAAAAATGACTTTCATGTAAAACTTATGTTTTTTTTAATTTAATATTTAAGAGAACAGGGAGCAAGAAATGATTATCATTTATCAAACACATTTCCGTCTCTTTTTTAAATAAAAAATAAAGAACAAAAGATAAAAATAGTTACCAAACACAGTTTTGGTTTTCTTTCTAAAACAAGAGGAAACAAGAAATAGGAAAATGTGACTAAATGAGGCCCTAAGTAATTGCATTTTCTGTCTCCTTTTTTTCTCTTGTTCTCAATAGAACTTCTTTGCCAGTTTAGTTGCATTTTCCACTTGATCTAATTTTTCTATTTGTGTATTTAGATATGATGGTCAGCGTGCCCAAATTCACAAATTGGCTGATGGTTCTGTGCGAGTTTTCTCTCGAAACAGTGATGATACAACATCAAAATTTCCAGATTTGATCAATATAATTAACGAACTATGTAAGCCTGCTGCCTCAACTTTCATACTGGATGCTGAGGTGCGAGCTTGCTATCAGACAGTGTTTGAGTCTTTTTCTTAGGAACTCCTTTATCAAATTGTTGGCTGACAATGTCTCGTCACTGCAAAATGATATTTTACCTCATGTTTTAGGTTGTTGCAGTTGATAGGAGAAATAATTGCAGACTGATGTCTTTCCAAGAATTATCATCACGCGGGAGAGGGAGCAAAGGGTTGCTGATTGCAGTTGATAGCATAAAGGTCTGATATATCATTATTTTCTACCTTGACATGATATATTGCTCTAAGCACAGAAAGCGACATATATATATCATGTTCTTTAAAATACAGATTAAGCACTGCTCTTTTTCGTTTCATTTTGTACTTCTTTGATCTCTCCTCTTGCTCCTTGTTATGGAATGATATAGGACGATACTTTTGTTTTGATTTTGAAGTTAATAATTGATATTTCATCCTTGAAATTGAGTAAGATGTTTGTTGTCATTTTTTCTTTTGTAGAAATGATTTTTATTGATATATCCCTCAATATCAAACCAAATGTGCAACTATCAAAGTTAATTGTGGACATCATTTGAGAAAACTGTACATTTTATTTTTTTTCTCAGATTGTAAATATGCAGTTGTTAAGGGTAACATCTCAAGCCTAAGACTAATACTGACCTAACTATTACTGTAGATATTGTACTAGTTTAAGAAAGTCGAACAGAGTTAAGATGATAAATGTTAATCACTTATCTGGATGTCTTTTTTTCAAACAAGATACGAACTTTTCATTGGTATATGAAAAGGAACAAAAAAAAATGTTCAAAATACAGCATCCCAGAGTGAAAATGAAATGAAAGAAAATACAACTATTGAAATAATAAAGCATCCAAAAAAAATATATGATTTTCACTTACTTGGGTGTCTATTTTTCACTGTTTGGTCTTTGGTTTCATTGTATAAACGAGAAACCTTCTTTAAGAGTATATATAATTCAACCGGCTTAGTCCAACATAATAATAGCCATGCCTGAACAAAATATCAAAAGGAAGAGAGAGGATCAGGAATATACGAGAAAAATGCTAAAATAGACAGCTACAGATTGAGCCTTCCCTGAAGGGATTTCGATAGATTTTATGTCTGATACTTTTGTCTTGGTCTTTCTGTAACATATATTCTGACAAGTATTTGTTGTACCTCTATAAATACTGCATGCTGATCGATATTTAAATTTATCCTCTAATACTTATTACCTTTCTGCAGGTTGATATTTGCATTTTTGTCTTTGACATAATGCTTGCCAATGGGGAGCAGTAATCATCTTTCAACACTCTCAATTTTCTCATCATTTCAAAGTTATGAATTCTTAGTTTCTTAGATTGATTTAGAAACTAATCCAAAAAGATTAAAAAACGAGTGGAGTAATGGTGTTGGGATGGGATGTTAAGCCTTTTTTTGTACGTAGGTCAGGATTCTTCCTTTCTTGCAGTTTTGGAAGTATGAGATTTACTACAACTTCATGGCTGTTAGTTATAATTTTCAGGTGTTTATTTGTTGATGTAGGTAGTTGCTAGAGTGTAGACAAACTTTTTTTTTTCTGTAAAATTTTATCCTTTTATTAGAATAATTATGCCATGGGAGCTTCCAGAATTTGTGGATACCAAGTTGGTACATGTCGAACTTTTTTCCTTGCTCAATAGAACGTTCTTTCTTGGTAGCCATGGAGCATCAATCCATCTGGGGTCTGCAATTTCAGACCAGTAGTCCTACAAGTTATACACTGAAAAAAGAAACCGATACAAGGGAAGTAGATAAAAGCAAAGGAATATATAAGGGTCTAATGGTAAAAGACAGCTACAGCCCACCAAATGAGTTACAAAATATGATTTCTACATTTTGTTCTCACTGAACGTTTGGTATCTTGTATCTACAGTACCACAATGTCCAATTTTTTTTTTTTTTTTTAATTAGAGTTTCTTACTGCAGGGAAAAAACTGTCATGGTTATTGTATCACGTCCAAGATTTAATAGTTATTATTGTGATTAGAACTTCGATTTTTTGTTATCAGTGATGCGCTTAGAAAATTTTATTTGGATTCTGTATTTGTCAATTTCTCTCTTTTTACAATATTCAATATAAGTTAAATAAATATCTCATTTCAGGCTGCTGGGGTTACCTCTCCGGCATAGACGAAAATGTATGATCACCATCTGTAGTTATTTTTTAAATTCCAAAGCTATAATCTTGTAAGAGTTAGTCTGATTAGATTCACAACTCACTGTCCAAATTTATACAGACTTGAAGGATTTGTTTCGTGATGAGAGGCCTGGATATTTTGAATATGCGAAGGAAATCACAGTGAGTACTCGACTTCACATATGAATAGTATTTAACAATATAGTGCATTATGGAATTAATATGTTCTGTAGATCGAAAAGGATGATGCCTGCTTAAACTGTGAATCCACTTTGATTAAAGTAAGTTCTTTCCTTGGAGATGCACTCCAATCATCGTGTGAAGGAATTATGGTCAAATCTTTAGATGTGGATGCTGGATATTCTCCCTCAAAGCGTAATGATACATGGTTAAAGGTATGATAAATTTAATTTTTTATTATTTGTACTGATATGAAATATTTTGGACATGCATGACTGATTAAAATCATCAACTGCATAGGTAAAGCGGGATTATGTTGAAGGMTTGAATGATTCTCTTGATTTAGTCCCTATCGGTGCTTGGCATGGAAATGGAAGAAAAGCCGGATGGTAATACTTCATCCTCATTCTATATGCACATCATCTAAGGCACGCTAACACCTTTCCAAGGGATTTAATATAAGTTTAAAAACTTTTATAAAAAATAAAATAATGAAAACAGAGTTTTCATTTTCTTGCCACGGCACTCGCCTCGCCTTTTGTTGATGGTGTGCCAAGTTGAGTGTGGTGCTTGCCAGGGTGGTGTTCTTGCACCTGTTCAACGTGCAAGAGGCCCTAAATGTCTCACCCCTTTCCATAGGTGAGGGCTCGCCTTGAAATCACTAGTCAACAGTTAAATGTGATATAAGAAGCAAATTCTTTAAAGTAATGTTTGAATTTTTCTTGATGTCTCCATTGTAGTAAGGTTGCATTCGTTGTATAGATATTTTCTTATTTCTTAGACATGACTATAGGAGATAAAATTACAGCTATTATTTGTCATATGGTTGCAGTGGAATCAATAAATCTAAGGAGAGAGTTTTGGTTGAGAAGTTGGACGTGAAAAGACTACCGAACATATAATTTTATCTCATTTTTAAAAGACTTTTTAGCTTTTCAATCTCATTTGTGTTCAACACTCTTCTTTTCAATGTCTTTTTAGTCACTCCGCCTTTCTGAGTTGACAAAATATGAGCTTTTCCTTGCCTTGTATTTGCACTGCCTTTATTTGACCCATTCTTAGAGTTAGAGTTTGAATTACGATCATTGTGGGTTTGCCATGCAGTTTGAAACATTTATCTTTGGATGGATACAAGGGTAGTCTTTTACAAATAATGGAAAAAAAAATGGAAAGAAATAGTATAGAAGGAAACAATTACCAATTATGAACTTTATTGCTATTTGACAATATCTGACAGGAGAGAGTATGCAATGGGATGTTTGGTGCAACTTCGAATTCTTTTTCTTAATAGTTGTAGGAACATCGAGATCAAATATAATAGGTAAGGAATTTTGAAGATTTGAAGTAGAAGGATTACCAAACTTTTCCCAAACTTCCTTTCGTAGTCTGCCCCATATAAACTATATACTCTGCTAAACTCCCGTTTTGATTGTCCTATTCCGAGTCTTCTATGTGGTGGTCTTTTATGATTGGTAACTATTAAGCTTTAGGATTTGTAAGTTGGAAGTCGTCTTTGCAGTTTATAAAGTTCAAATGAATGAAGTACTAGTTAGTGAATGAGTTAAAATTCTGACTTTTATATGCATGAGAGACATGATACTTTACTACATGAAATGCAACTTCGGTGCACAATGCCATTTTTTGCAATTCCAGGTTCAGCCCTTTCCTCATGGCCTGTTACAATCCTGACAATGAGGAATTTCAAAGCGTATGTCGTGTTATGTCGGGGTTCTCTGATGCATTTTACATTGAGGTAATTAGCTCTCCACTTACTTTTTATTTTTCACTATGGTCTCTTCTCCCAAAAATCACAGGTTTTTTGTTGATAGAAACTGTAGCTCAGTGCATTGTTGAAATATATATTATATCAAATGAAGAATGCAATAATTCGTTTTGTTTTTTTACTGTGAGTTTGATGCAACCAAGCATTAGAAGAAGATGGAGGACTGTCAACCAAAATGTCTATTAATGTTCAAAAGTATATTAATACAATATAGGATTATTTTGGTTACATTTATAGAGGATTTAGGCTTACTAATGCAAATAAACTATCAATTAACCTTAAACCAACAAACTAAAACAAAATTACAAACCACTCCTAATACATACCTAAGAACTCTACAATTTATGCTACACCAATTCCCTCCCTCTTGAAAAAAGAACTCTTCCTAGTTTGAAAGATAATGAAGTTGGGATGTAAACAGGGAGGAAACAAAATTAAGATCCAAATTCTTATTGAAAATTTTAAAACAAATTTTCTATCAAAAAGGAAAATTTTAAAACAAATTATTTTTATTTTTACTTTTTAGATCATGGCTCGTAAGTCGTAATCATGCTCTCATGATAGGAAAAAAAACATAAGTTGAGGTGGAAAATGTTTCTATCTTCTAACAATCAATTAATGAGCAATTCAATAAGTTGTAGACAACTTATCTATGGAAAGCATTCTTAAGCTAGCTTCAGGGGTATTGAATTTTCCTTTGCATTAGCTGTAAATATTATTTGTGACAATAATGTTGCTTAAATTGTTGGAAAGAAAAAAGAATAAAATTAGTGCATCTATCCGAAAGTTGTTCATTCATGCCCTGATCGCCCAGTAGGCAAGCTTTTCTGTGAGCAGTCCTTCAAGGGGTCCAGTCTTCACCTTGCAAATTGTAGAACTCTCTCTCAAAAACTTGATCTCTGACTATTGTTCCTATTGAGTATTATTGTTCTTATAGATTTTTCTTTCTTTTTTTTTTTTTTGGTTAAACTTCAGATGAAAGAATTTTTCTCTGGCGATAAGATTTTGTGTAAAAAGCCACCTTACTATCGAACTGCTGAGGCCCCTGATATGTGGTTCTTGCCAGAAGTTGTTTGGGAAATAAGAGGTGCAGACTTAACAGTGTCACCAGTTCACCAGGCTGCTGTAGGTTTAGTTCATCCTTCTCGGGGCATCTCAATCAGGTTTCCGAGATTTATTCGTTCAGTTCGAGATAGAAATCCAGAAGAATGTAGCACGGCTACAGATATAGTTGGCATGTTTAATTCTCAGACAAGGAAGATGGATGTTGTTGCATCAGGAGATTGAGTTTAGTTCATCAGTTATTTTGGTAGGCTTCTTCTTGTCTCTACTATTACGTGTAGATATCGATTATATATCTGGTGTCAAACTTTGGCTTGTAAATTTTAGAAAGATGGGTTTAGATAGTCTTTCCTCTGTAAATCAATTAACATAGAGGGTTTACCTCGAAGTAACTTCCAATATCATACCTTTTGTCTCTCACTTGCATGGTCTGTTTTTAATCAAAACCAAGCTTTACCACCGTTTGTTGTGGACACTTTGATAGATAAGATTATTGATCATTCAATAGGTTCACTCCAATTGCCATTACGGATGACCGGGTTAATCCAATTATAATCCAAGTGACGTGGAGCAGTGTATGAATGACACCCACAAAATTAGGAGAAACTTCGCTCCTTAACGGTGAGGAGCATTGTGCTTCCTACCCTCGCGTGGTTCTATAAAAACAAGACAAGTGTTGGTTGTTGCTTTTTCTAATTATTTTATTAAATCTCATAATCTCATCAAAATCTTCTCAAATCTCTTTGAATTCTTTTTTTTTAGATTGGTTGGTTGACTTTTCCCATTTTTTCTCTCCCTACAACTTCTCAGTTCCTTATTTTTCTCTATTCTTCCTATACCTTTTTTCTCAATTTGATGCAGTAACGATAATCGATCATCTAAAGTTAAAAGTTAAGGGAGAAAAATAAATTTAACAACTTTAATCCAATATCTCAAAACTTCTTCAAATTACATTTGCTATGAACAAGATAGTAAGACACGAAATGAAGATTTGAGGAGATTTTGATGAGATTATGAGATTCAATAAAATAATCAAAAAAAGCAACGATAAAAACTTGTCTTGTTTTTATATGGGATCACGTGAGGGTAAGAAATAGAATACTCCTCACCATTAAGGAGCAAAATTTTTTTCCACAAAATTTGTTTGGAGTTTATGAATATGAATTTCTTAGTTATTTTCTGTATATAGCCAGATGTTTTAAGTTTATGAAACTAGAATTGTACTTGGTAATTTCTTCTTCTACTGGTGTTCATTTACTTGTTTAATGTTTTTTTTTAATAAAAGTAATTTTATAAATAGATTTTTGTCTACCCTTTCTTTTTAGGAAAACATAGGCTGTATAGGAGCCTAATTTTGGATATTGTTGGAAAATTTGTTTATTCTTTAATCATTTGAAACTTGCTAGAATTTTATTTAAATTATGTGAATAATCCTAGAGTACAAAACAAACCTATAAAGATTCAGAATTATGGAATGACTTAATTGAGAAAGATAAATACATTAATGGCATAATTGCCAATTTTAAAAGATGACTTAATTGAGAAAAAACAATATATTAGGGTTGATCACACTTCCAAAATTAAAAGTTATCTAAAATGTTAGGATTTCCATATCCTTTCATTTTCATTTTTTTTTATTTTTTGTTTTTTTATAATTTTTTAAATTGACCTTGATTTCTATCCTTTCTTTGTTGTGTTTTTTTATGCCACTTCAAATTACATTTGAATTTCTAGTCAAATTTTAAAAATAGAAGTTTTTTTTGTTCTTTGTTTTTGCTTTTAGGCTGAATCATTGGACACATAAAATTAAAAATAAAATTATTATTAAATAGGGAATTCAAACGGTAACTAATCTGATTAAAGATTTAATTATCAATATGTGATCTTTTCTACTTTTTAATATTAAGTAAAGACATGTAGAGCATTCACAATATAACTCATCCATAATCGTCCATTGAAAATAACAATACGTAATGTATCAAAAATTTTGTTATCAAAATGTTATATTAGAAAACATAAACGTTCACTTTAATTGCATGTTATTGTAGACATGACATATCTAAACTATTATCAAAACCAAAAGATCTTAATATATATATATATATATTATATATATAAACATTTCATAACTCAAACGGAAGTTTCCAAATGTCTAATTTAGGATTGTTAAGATTATTGCCTTCAATAAGAATAAAAAAGATACATGCTAACTTTTCTTATAATCAAATTGATATGAGATTAGGTCAAGTTTTCGTTTCTCCTTTTACATAATATCTCAAGACAGAATTTTGATTGAGATTATAGGTGAATTCCTTCAATTTTCATACTTTAATAACCAAATACCAAGTACACAAATTTTATGGTTTTAAAACATAGGTTAAAACACTATTTTTCTTCGATCAATTTTAATTTATCATGTACTTTCTAAAGATTTTTGTCTCTAATACTCTTTTAACTTTGGTTCATTTTAATCTATATATTTTCAAAAGGTTCATTTTGATCCCTTTACTTTTAAAACGTGACCATTTCCGTTCCTTAACTAGATTCACTCGGTATTTTCCACTTTTAGCTTAATTCTTATAGACTTAGTTTTAATTTCACTCCAAAGATCTCATATAATAGAATTGAAGATATTATTCTTCATTATCTCCAACAATCTTCTTGTTGAATAAAGGATCACTAAGCTTCCCCTAATAAATCGTCATTCTTCTACCTTCAGATACATCGAGAATTTGTTCGTATTCAGATCAATTGCGCTGCCGATTTAATAGAGCTCAACCATATACCTTCACATGGGATATGGGATAACCAAAGTTGACGACTCAGTCATGTGAACATGTCTTTAAGGCTCCACAAAACTACTTGAATATGTATTTAAGGCTAACCCCCTTTTTGTTTTGGCACATGAAGATTCCATTAATACGATAAAGTTTGGGTATGGATGGATGTTCCTATAAATTATCTTAATTAATAAATAAGTTCTTTTCACTTTTTAAATAAATTAACAATCTTATTATTCATATTTATATTTATATTTGTGATTAATCGATTATCTTTTTTAACTTTAGATATTTGCCTATTACAATAATGAGTAGAGATGTTCATGGGGCGGGACAGAGACAGGGATGAGAAAGCCTTTCCTGCCCCCCATTTAATTCTCCATCTGAAATTCCCCATGAAATTCTACGGAGATCGGGTTTTCCCCATTTCTTTTTTTTTTTAAATAAATTTTCAATAAATATTTTTTCTTAAATATTTTTTATTTAATTGATTAATTTCTAAGGTCTAATTCTCTTTTTTATATATATATATATATATATATATATATATTAAATGCGGGTGAGTAGAGAAGAATACATGATTTTTTAGTACATGCTTATAAAGAGGATAATATAATTATTTTAGTGTGTATATATATATATAAATATTTACACAAAAATTATGCGGGACTGGGAACCCATTTAGGTGGTGAGAAAAAAATTTCCACCATCCACCGCGAAAAATTTAAATGGGAATTCCCTACCCTATCTAGATAGGGTATGTATGGGCACGGAGCTTATAGGAAAAATGAGCGTCCCTAATAACTCCATGTTTTCACTGGACATTCTGTCCATTTGTCATAAATTTGTTTCCGGTTCACTTTCCCAACACTGTTGACTTATCATGGTGCCTTAGACCTCCAGATTTTGTTATTTTTACAAAATTGGAAATTTGGTGGCTACTTTTGTAAAATTCTATTGCCTCTATCAAATGTATATGAAATCAAAGGCTTATTTGATATGCCATTGTTTCAAATTTACTAAATGTTTATTGAATTTGTTTTTGATTTTTTTTTCAAATTTACAATTTGTTTTTTAAATTTATTTTTTAAAATTCTATGATAGATAAATACACTCTTTTATGTTATAAACTCATTTTATTTTGTTAAAATTAACACATATAACAAAATATATAATAAAACTCATAATATTATAATCATACAAAATTGATAACATAAATTATATCAAATATTTATTTAATAATATTTAATATTCATCTAAATATGTAGCCGAGTAGTTGCCACTATTTTTATTGTTTATAAATATATTAGGAAACACTTTTTGAACAACTTTTTAAAGTGAAATCTACCAATACTGAAAACAAGGACACCCCAATATATTCCAGGATTGAATCAGAATATTTTAAGGTTTGAGAGACCAAAATAACCCTGCCAACAAATATAGATTTTCAGAATTATGAAGTTTACAAAATTAAAAAAGGGCACATGGAAAACTTTACTAAATAAAAATGCAATAAAATAAAACCAACGAAGGTATTTAACCCATTTCCTACTCTTCACAAAATTAGCCAAGCAAACACCCTAACAGAAGTGGACTTACACATCTCATTTTGTAAAATTACAAAGTTCAAACAAAATATCTAAACAAAAAAAAAGGCAACAAAATCTTGGAAGGGGCAGAAAGTGAAGAGCAATTTTAAGTTACTCAGTTTTGCGCCTTTTCTTCACCAGGCTCTTTGTTGGTCCCCTCATTTGACCCTCCAAATGCTTCTTTTCTTTCTGCAATTTCACAAATCAACTGTAACTTTGGCATGGTTTTAGACTGTGTTTCAAGAAAGGCTCGAGTGCTTCTAATTATGCACAATTTACTATTAAATCAACTAAGAAAGTACTTAACGACGACCGGGTTCCTTTTATTGGAACTATGTTTCTATTCATTTTTGTTTCGAATTGATCAGGTGCTCGTTAAGTACTTTTTGGCTATGTTTACTGGATCTAACACACATTATCTCACAAACTTCTCTCTAATAATAATAAGTTCAGAGCTTATTACCTTGTTTGATCTCTTTGCCGGCAATCCATAACTTTGTTTTGATTTGTTTTTCCTCCTACGGTTTTCCTGAAAGGATTTACAAGATCCATTAGTACATATATAATTCCACTATCAATAAATGAAGTCATACAGGCTTAAATATCAGCCTATATCAGATTATCAGGTATCAACCGGGGGAAAAGCAGGGAGTCGAGGAGGTGACTCAGTCGGATTTTCTGGATTTTCTATTTCTCCATTGTCGTTGAGCATAATTTTCAGCCTGCCTTCATTCAGTAATTTCTCAGAACGAGCGTGTCTCTGCAAAGTTTTAGAAAGATATTATATCAGAGGAACAATGGGCATCTAATTTGTAACTAATAGCAATAATCAGAAGATGCACTGACGGATACAAGACATGACGTGGATACAGCAACATGGTATTATCTAAAAATTTATGACATGAACATGACACGACAAAGACACGTTCTATTAACCTATGGAAGATACTGGAAACTCCACAATCTAGAAAAACAAACAGATGAGACAGAAGTAATATCATATACAATACCTTGGACTTAAGATGAGCCTTTAATGTCTCCTCATTCAAACAGACAACTCTAGGGCATAACCTACATTTAAAAACTGATTTGCATTTCAGGATACACACGGGAATATCTGCTGTTTGTGATTCCTCCATGGATAAGATATCCGACTGAAGGTCCAGTGTTCCCGAAGGGCTTTCATCAGATACCTGGCTCCCAATGGGAGTTTGACTTTCTTTTCTAACGTCAGGATCATCTTCAGTACTTGGAAGACCTGTGAATTGTGATATGAAAATGGATGTCAAATATAGTTCAAATAAATCAAGCAACCAAAGTTGCCATGTTTTTGTTATAAGGACCATCCGAAGTTTACTAGTTGATGAAGTTTTACATGTGTGTGTGCGTACACTGACAAATGCACATAATTATGTTAATATGTGTATATAGTATACTGATACACATATCTATTTAAATATGTATCTGATGTAAATACAGATATATATATATATATATAGAAGTATAAAAGAATTACAGAAGCAATCTGGGTGAAAAAACTGTGTTGGGATGTAACTTTTGACCTGGAAGAAGCAACGTTTTTTTTGCAAAGAAATAGTGACTTGACGGAGAAGAAAAGAAAAACCTGACGAGTCAACATCAACTTCATTAACAGAGCTATCCTCACTTTCATACCCTGAAATGAGCAAATAATTAAATAAAATGTCAATATGCAGGTGTGTGCATCACTATGATACAGTAGTGGTACATCTATGCATGCCTGAGTGCTTTCAATTTTTTTACAGAGTAGTTATTTAGGATACTTCTTTTCCAATTAAACAATAAAGAAATATGCACTATAATGTTCTTATCTCCAGCGTATTTTAGCATTATAAATTCTGTATTTCTTTTATTTTTATTTGTTTTTTGTTGGAGGACAAAGACAAACAGACAGCAATTCAGGAACAATTAGCTTTCTAACCCGCATATCCCAAATAGATTAGCATTATCATGATCTGTTCATAAACCACACAGATTTCTGAGAAATATAGAAGTAAAGAAAATAAAAAGAAATGTAATAGTCAAAAGATGGACAAACCAGATGAGGTAGAGCAGGATTCATCAATTTCTTCTACATCATCTTGTGATTCTTCTGCACCGGCTTCTGGTTCAGAGTCTGATGATGACATAGATGAATCTGAAGCATCATCTCTATTGGCATGTTCTAGCCTGTAGAATCTCCTCTTTATCATTTCCAATCTTTTAGCGAAACTGTGGCAGAAAAATTAAGTTAATCATGAGATATATCAGATATATCTCTTGATGAAAGTCATCGCCTTTACTTGTTATACCATTATACGGTTGGTTATTTCTCGTAAATCCTTTACCAACAACAAAGCTTACAAACCATCAAGAGCTTTATATCCCTTATTCAGCCACAAGACTAACATGAAACTGAAAATTTCTCCCATTGTCCACTGAGAATTATTAACTTATTTCCACAAGATATAAAGTTAGTATGCAAATAAACACAATACAAAAACATGATCGTTAACTTCAAAATAAAAATTATTGCACAAATTAGAACCTACAGCCATCACAAGGCTAAAGTTTTGGACCCAATACGCCAAGTTACGTCGTGGAGCCAATGCAACCCGATAAGATTGGCTAGTTTGGATTCTTCAGTTTACCACCCAGCAAAGTATACACAATTTACCCAACACATAATATATTATCCAACACACGTGATCCAGAAAAAACAAACTTCTTTGCCAAAGTTCTGTAATAGGATGTAATCTGTATACTGAAGAGAATTTAGAACTTAATAGCAAAAATTCAGAAAGTAGGTTAAAAGCAGCACACACTCACCGCGAGACTGGAAAACCAAGCAAGAAAAGATTTCGAAAGAGTGGGGCCGAGATTAAGTTCAGCTTGCTGCCATTAAAGCGAAAGAGAATCAACGAATGAGACTGCAACTGACGAATGGAATATTGAGATCGAGAGGAGAGATTAAAACCAGAACCGGTGATGAAGAGACAGAGGCTGCGTCTGCGACTGAGAATCGATGAAGCAGAGAGGGTGAAGCGAGGTTTCGATGTTGATTAAAAATGGGCTTTTGTGGGCCACCGGATTATGCCCGGCCCGGCCCGAAGAAATTTGGGCTTCGGCCCACTGTTAGAAATTGCTGTAGGGGGGCTAAAAGGTTTTTTTTTTTTTTTTTTAATTCAACGCAACTGAGTTAAGGATTTAAATCTCTGGTCGATGATATATATATGTTCAGGGTCAAAATATTGCTTATGTTAGGATAAAATGTCAAATATCGATGCTCATTCTTCCAATTAAGTGGCTTTAAAAGGCATGCCATCCTTAGAAAATAAATAAATAAAAATAAGAAATAGAAGGACTAGCAATAGACCTAAGTTTTTTCACACATGAAGAAGAGATGGGGTGAAACTGTGTCTCTTTGCCTTACCTTAGTCCCCTTTTTGGAAAAATGCCATTCATCCTCACTAGAACAAAAAGACAATTCTAGACATAAATCTTGACATAATTTACGTTCATTTTTTCTCCTTATCTCAGTAATGAAAATCCACGATATAAGTCTTACTTATATCTCATTTGAGTTGTTGTCCAACTTCTCTTAACCATTTCTACATCGTTTTCCTTTTAAATTGAAACATTTTAAAGTTTAAAATAATAGATGTAATTGCTAACCTACCTCAACCACAGTTAAGGTGGAAAACTGAACCAAGAATTCTCTTTTTTTAAGTGGCTTCCTAACTAAGATTATAGTGGAGTATATATGATCAAATCTGGGAATTTTTTTGTGAATATATCTGGTAGAAGGAAAAAATGTAGAAAATTATTACAACAAAAACCATTTTCTTGTTGAATCAATTTTTATTTAAGTCTCCGTGAATTAAACAAGGAAGATGAGTATTTTCACATAAGTTACTATTAATAAACTTTCCACTATACATTAAGTTCAGCGTAAAAAAATCTTGTAAATAGGGGTGGAGCGATGTGTTGATTATTATAGAGTCAGTCCATCATAATCTTTTAAGATTAATAAATGACGCTATTATATGAAAGTCTATGAACTCATGGAGAAGATCATTCAATATACCTATTAAATTGTCTAAATATAATTATCAATTATTTTGTTATTTATATACAAATTAATTATGACATAATATACTTTTGATGTGACTCTTAAATGGGAAAATTTATAATATTTCATCCGTTCGTACTGTTGGCGAGGTAATTTAGTAGCTATCACACGTGTCAAATGAATTATAGGTCGAAAGATGTCGTGTCACCATAATAATCAATAAGTAGCATAAGTCTGGAAAGACGACAAAGCAACTCGACCAACTTCCCTAGTCGAGTTGATGAATACATCATATGGTAGTGCATGTCTTCATAAAGGTCGAGCTAACCAATGAGAATCTTAATGTCCAACCTTTGTAAAAGACAAGTCGATGATCACAACTCCTCGTCTCGTTGCTCTTGACCGCTGTACCGACAATACACTACAAACTCCAAAGCGATTGTAACTGTTGAATAGGTGGGACCCACAAACCAAGCCTATAGATGGGATCTGCTTTACTTTTTAGATATGCAATGCTATTTCTCTCGTTGAATAGGATCGAACTTAGACTGACTTGAACATCAGAAGCTCCTTCTCTCTCCTTGTCTCTCTCCGTATGTTCCAGCTGGTATAGGTGAGTCTCTCCCTCTATCTTGTAATCAAACACATACTACGAATTTCTCTTCCTCAATAATACTTTAATGATACATTTTTTGAATGATGCTAAAAAGAGAGGGAGAGAAAAGGAGTACTCTTGTGTTGATGGAAACTTTTGGCTCTTCAAGTTATGGTGGTGACCGAGGGAGGTAGAATCTGATAAGGCAAAGTGACAAAATTGTTAAGAATGAATGATTAGATGTGTGGGGGCGGCTGTGGGCTGATGGGGAAGGGGAAAGAGCAAATGGAAGGACTATAGAGAAACGTGGGGAATTTGGATAAGTCTAGAAATTATTTTCTTTTCAAATTTGCAGTCTCTTCGGAAACTAACAGGTAAAGGGAGAATTGACATAAAGCTTATGGGGGAAGGTATGGCAATAGGCAATCCACACTCTTAAATGATGTTATGTTCTCATCTATTATATTCTGTTTAACTATTGCTGGTAAGAGTATTCAAATCTAATTATTTTCTCCCATATCAGGTGGGTAGATTTGATAGGAAGAATGTATCTTTATATGATGGGAGGAGATTAAGGCCGTGCCACGATTAGACTAATAGAAAGGACGTATTTTTTGTTTGAGGAGGGGAGATTAAGGATACGGTTGTGGTCGTCATCAAATACATCCCACAATGTGATCTGTGATTGTACTCAATCTGAGTGTGTTGCAGCTTTGGACAAGAGAGTAAGCTCTCATTATCACCGCAATGCAATGTGATATATGGTTGCATTCTATTTGGGTGTGTGCTACTAGCCTTGGATAATAGCACGATCTCATTGTGAGTTGGGAAGCAGTTGGATGAATGACTATTCAATGCAAGATTCAAGTGATATTTTGTCGAATGGAGGATTGTTAGAATTACCAACAAAGTTCCATATTGATTAGGGTAGGAAAATATCCCTACTTATAAACGATAGTTAAACAATATGAGGAATAAAAACTTAATTGGTATAAAAGTAGTATTTGGAAGAAAAAGTATTATTTAAAAGTCTAACTAGTCTGTATTACATATTTTTTTAAAGATTGAAGGTGTGTATATTATCTTTTCTCATTTATTGATTTTTTCTTTTGAGTACAATATGTGAGAGTGGGAGATCCAACTCTCAACCTCTTGGTTAAAAATATATGTCAATTATTGTCGAACTATGCTCATTTTGGCTCGTTTATTGATTTAGGGGGAAAAACATTGATTTTTTTAAAAAAATATAAAGCACATTCTTCTTTATTTTTGTCTCCACCCCCTTCTATTCCTTAAAATATTATTATAATATTATAAATGATAGGTGATGATATCATTGAAATCATCCATTAACCTAGGATAACGTAAGTGTGCGTTCGGAAGTGATAGTAAAATGAGTTTTTTTAGAAAATAGACTTAAGTATAATTGGTTTTTCAAAATCAATATACAAATAATACTTTTGATATTTTAAAATGATTTTAAGTTTCTTTTTAAATCAACTTTTTAACTTGCCATCGGCAATAGAAAGGGAAGTGATTTTAGTCCCAAACAAACATAAATTCCATAAGCATTTTAGATGACATTCCATAGATGAAATTGACACTTAAGATATTGTAATATGTAATTGGTTGGTGGAGGTTTATTCTAAAATAAAAATAAAAATAAAAAATTGAGTAGCAACACTGTTAAAAAGAAAAATTTTAAAAACTTCATACATCCTAAGTAATTTTGTATATTAAAATCAAATTTATCTTTGTCCCTTCGAATATAAGTCAAATGGATGAAGTACCTAAGATGGATTGAACCACTCCACATTTATAATGTTAATATTCTTTAAAGAAAAGGTGCAAAAATAGAAAATCTCTCACCGCTACGGTTCAAATTACCACCCCATTTTAAATATTTGGCTAAATACTTTATCACATATTAAGTATTTGGTTAAACACGAATTTTGACCCATAAAAGCCACCCTATTTCTTCATTTGATTTTTACCCTCGCCAGTTTAAAAGTTTTTATTTTGCTTTTGAAGAAGTAAAAATTTTCAATCAACTCCTTCAACTTTTCTTTACTTCAACCCATGTTTTAAACTTTTGATGGAAGTAGTCAACATATATCTCTTTGAAGATAATATTTTTCTATAGATTGCCGTTCTTTAAATTTTAAAATTCACAACCCTCCATCGACTAGAAAAAAGTTTAAACTAGTCCTTTTGAGATATATATATATAGAGGTAGATATTTAATGTTAAGAATATTAACTCACACAATAAATAATTTTTTAAATATTACATTATTTAATTGGTATTCAACTCACAACCTCATGGTTGGAAATATATGTCAATTACCGTTGAACTATGTTCGTTTTAGCATGAATTTCATGTGTTGAAGATAAAACTAAAATTGTTAAAATAGTAGCCAGAAATTCAAAAACAATACATCTAAATTTCATTTTGGTTTCAAAATTTTTAAAATTATTCTATTTTAGCACATAAATTATGGAATTGTTCATGTAAGTCCATAAATTTTCAAGTTATTTCATTTTGATCGATGAATTAAAAATATATATTTTGGTTAGTTTTTGTTTTCTCTTAATTTAAGAGATTGGCATAGGAGGAATTTTGAAATAATGTTTTAGGTTTAATTTTCGAAAACAAAAAACCAAATGATTATTAAACAATTTTTTAAGTTCAAAAACTAATTTTTTAAAAAAGTTTAGGGGTGGCGAGAATAGTTTAAATTTGAAAATTAAAAAAAAAAACCAAAATATTGTATTATTTTGTGAGTTTAAATATTTTAAAATTAGGTGCTTGTTGCTTTTTCTCACAATTCATCTTATTCTCACAATTGGAAACATCCAAAGTCTCTTTGAAAAATCAACCTACCTACTTTCATCTTTGTCTAATAATTTATAATTGTGTGTGCGCACAAAATAATAATAATAATAATAATAATAATATTATAACTATAAATCTCTCTCCTTATTCAATTGTTTGTTTGTCGTTATTATTAAATAAAAAATATATATAATATAAAATAGCTAAGGTTCGTCGTCGAATTGGGCCCAAATGGAGAACACTCAAGTCTTGTTTAGGTTATTTTCAATTTTCTAATATGACCTTTTTAATTGGTTTTATTATAAAATAAGTAGGAAGGATTAAGACATCAATAATTTAAGCAAAACATAATTTTCTTAATAATATCACTTATTAACAAGGAGATCTATTATGAATTTTTATACGATTCCTACAAATTTCGAGTGATCATGCTCTCAAACCAGCTATTCATCATCGACTTGAACTATTGTATTACAAACTAGTTAATCAGATCTAAGTTTTCTATTTTTTATATTTTACTCTAGAGAAATTATATAAATATGAT